TTCAAAACTTTAAAAGGGTAGAGATTATAGGCAATAAACTAGTGTTTCTGTTGCCTCCAGAGAAAGATCTGAGTTACTGGAGGAAAATGTTTTTGTTTTTGTTTTTTTAACTCTATGCACTTTTACATTTTGAATTATAAATCATGCTAGTTTACTAACTCTTTAAAAATAATAAAATGTATATTTTATAAAAATGAAACAAAATTTCAGTCCAAGTGGTTTTTTAAAAAACAATAAAAAGACACCTTAGTTTTGAAATGCACTGTTTCTGACTAATGCATTAAAACACGGCTCCTAAAGAATTCATGAACTCGGATTAATTTCTCATATTAATGAGTCAGTTGGCCCCAAAGCACAAGGCTCCAAGAAGAATGGTACTGGGGATGTGGACATTTTGAGAGAAAGGGGGAGATCAAGAGATGGTCTGAGCCGACGGCATTGCCCAAGGAGAGCCTGAGCACCCAAGGGACCCAGTGGAGGGACGCAGGGCCAGGGCGATGAGGGGGGAAAGGAGAGAAGGAAGCCCAGAGGAAGTGACTGGATGCTACGAAGACTAACGTGCTGACATAAAAAAGAAACGCACTAGTTCTCCCTCTGCCTCCCTGGAGGCTGCATCCTATGTCATCCCTGTTCTAAAACAAGCCCTTCTCTGCCTTTGGCCCTTAACCAAGGGAAACGTACTAAAGTGGGGGACTTCTGGAGGACAGGCTGGGCCCTGTGAGAGCTGACTCCGGAGTCATTCTTTCCTGTCCTGACCATCACCCTCTATTTCAGCCACCATTTGGCAAAAACCAACAGGGAGGTGACAGCGAAGTGAATTCAAATTTGACTCTATGGAGGCTCTTTGGGCAGAGCCGCAGCCCGAAGGAAAGGACACAGGATTAACGGGTCCCTGAGCCAGCCGTGGGCGAGGAGCCAGAAGGACACCCACCACGAGAGGCAGGGAAACGGTTAATAATTCAAGGTGACAAATTAAGCCAGCTACTCAGGGGCTCCAGTTTGGCTGATTGTGAAGTCAAAACAGAACTGTCGGAAACTGGGAAGGCGCTGTCACTTTTACTGTATTTTTCCACACGTATTTTTTTTTTTTTTTTTAATTTGGAAATGTTCATGAGGAGCTGGACGGCGCAGGCTGGAGAACTCCTAGGGTTTGAGAGGGGAGAAACCGTGTCTCGGCTTGGACCGCGGTCTGATTCTGATCAGCAGCTCCCCAAGGGCGACAGCCACGGGTGGCAGCAGGGTTGCCTAGCCTCGCTACCCGCCCTGTCCTCCGCCCTGTGGAAATACCCTCACCTTCTCTCGTTTTCACTGCCCTTCGGTGCCAGCATGCAGCCTCCTGCCAAATTACACTAACAGCGTGCTCCATCCACCGGCCACACCAGCCTCCTTGTTACTAAACTCAGCAGCTGCTTAACAGGGAGCAGATGGAGGGAGACGCACAACACCCCCAAAGTGGGCACCAGGGAAACCTGGGCCGAGAGGTGGAGGAGAATTAAAATACCTGCACTTATCCCTGTTGATATGTTGGCAAGGACGCTGCTTTCACAATGCCTAGCACATGAACAACCGCCCCGTGGAAATTTACTAAAAGGAACTTGTAGGCTCAGGATGTTTAACGTGACCGTGTGGCCCGCTTCGGGGGGAATGTATGAAATTAGCACACACGGCAACAAATGGACAGCAATGTTATCTACTCTTTGGATTGTATTACCATGGAGCTTATTTTTCTGACCTTGGAGGCATATATTATTTTTTGGTGTGCTGCTGAGTTTTAGCAATTAGTTGATGTGTGCCATGAGATGAAAAAGGTTGAAGGTCACTGTTCTACAGAAACATCTCCATGTGGCATCTCTACTCCAAGTTAAGGTTTAATAGCATCCATTCTAAAGAAAACAGAACAGTGTTGCTGAGTGAATTTTAGACAAGAGAAAAATGGACAAAATGCAGCTCACACATGAGCAGGAATACACACACACACACACACACACTCTTCTTTCTCTTCCAGCAAGCATTGCACTTGCTTTGAGGTTCCCCCAAAGGGCCCTGAATCTGATCACCCCAAAACAGCTGCTGTTCAAGGGACTTAGCTAGTCAGATGTTCCCCTCTGATTTGGCCAAAGCCAGAGTGCCTGGGTCTCAGGTTCCTCCCTGATGGTGTTGGGGCTGATGCCTGGTAGGCTGTCCATTGCAGACCTACCCACCCAGCCGCAGCCCCTGACCTATCTCATGGACTAGTGCAGAAACACAATTCTCTTATTGTTCTCCGACTTGGAGACTGAGGGAGGGGGAACATGCACGCCCACAAAACCTCCCTCGAAAAGATTAGTGCAATTATTAGCCAACAGTAATGGCCATAAGCCAATCTGCTCTCAAATCCTCCTGAGCACCAAGTCACCTCAGAGTCTTAAAGCCCCAAACACAAGACTGTGTGTTCTCCTGCATTTTGCCATGTTGTTCTAGAAGACTGCTGGGCCGGTGCTTAATGCCGCCCTTCCCCACAAGGCTAATCAGCAGAGACAGGAACCGTGCATAATGCATGTGTCTGAGCCCTGGGTCCCCATGCCCCCATAAGTCTGTAAAAGGCAGATGTCCGGGGCCAGACATCATTGAGAACTGCCTCACCCAACCTTGTTTGGGCAAATGCTTATTAAAACAGAGCTGCAGATTGTGGCTAGTAGTTAGTGTTAATTGTAGAACAGTCCAGCAATAATGTGCTTTTCCCCCTTTCGCTCTATGTGAGTAGTAACCTATAACCCTTAAACTACCACTCTGCTACTACCCTGGTTCCCCCTTAGGAGACACGGGTAAGTATTCGGAAAGGAAAGGAAATTCTGTTCCGGAACGGAGTAGGTACACACGTCCTTGTACTGCATGTATATTTCAGACCCTAGTCTCCAAGGACATGAAGTCTTATGTTAGCCTACGCGAGCTATATAAAATCAATAATACATAGTGATTAAATGTAGATGATGATGAGAGACAAACAAAGAAGGAAAGTTGAAGGACTGAAATGTTACTGATATATTTACGCAATACCAGAGCAATTGATTAATTGACTGAATTTACGTTACAGATAAATTAAATGAGACATTAAACAAATTTGTCAATTGAGCCAGAAGACAGCTAGTCCAATAATTCTGTGAATAGTCTACTCAAGGCAGTACCTATGTGTGCAAATAAATACAGAGGTGAACTTTAACTATAGGTCGGGAACTGTAATCATTCCTTTATCTTCAGTTACTGAATCCCTACTATGTTCCCAGCACAAGTTAAAGCCAAATGTTTGTAGCATTACAGTAGCCACAGTAAAACCCTGTTATTTTCAGAGAAATCAGTGCTGCTAGGAAAACATAAGACAGAAAAAAAAAAAGCCTTAAAGCTAAGCAAATAAAGAGAGCATTTGCTGTGTAATGACAAATTGGGGAAACTTTCAAACATCTATTTATTGTTCACGACTGAGAAAAGCTTAGTATGTTAAGTTTTGCACATGCCTATCATATACATTTATGAGGATTACACAGAACCCCGTTCCTACGAATTAACACCATACCTTTGCAGCCTTCAGCTTCTTTTCTCCTGCTGAAAGTTCTCAGAAGAGCCTTTGTCAGAAGATCAAGAGCCTGGCCTAAATCACCAAATTGTAATGACTCAGAATTCTCCAGCATGATCATTTAATATTCATACACACACACCTGAACAGGACAAGCAATATACCACCATTTGTATTCAACTTTCATTATATGTGTTCTACTGTGTATGCTTTCATAGTGTATGTGCTAACACACAAATACATACACAACACACACAGACTTTCTCATCTGGAAGGTCTAAGGTTTTAGTTAAATTCCAGAAAGACTTCCTTTGCAACAACTAGGAGATAACTGAAACCCCAACAAATCCGTTTCTCTATTCGCAAAACAGAGGTTAAAAGAAATCACAACAAGAGAGTCATTTGAAAAGTGCCTAGAATCCTGGGGCTAACGCTAGTGTATAAGCATAGACAGCCTGATCCTGTAGCATGCGTACACTGAACCACTATTTGGTGTCATTCACTGATGAAAACATAGATGCAAATACATAGGTGCCAGACCGTTTTCTCCTTAGGATGCCCAGAACTAAGCACCTGGAATGAATTACACATCCATGAGCAATAGTGCATTCTCAAGGGTTTGTCCAGCAAACCTTTGACATGCACATTTCACATGTGCATGTCCACATGCAAGCACAGGCACAAAACCATTTAAACCTCACACTCCTCTCTGCAAAGCTGATACCATTCTGTTCTGTCTATCACCAGATTATATCCCCAGTAACGATGATTACATCCCCAGTAATGAAGAACAAATAGCAGAGTGAAGAACAGTTAGGCTCTGGTGAAGCACAGAGCCCCACAACCCTGGAGTCTGCCTTTCATCTTTAGTTACTTGTCAACCCAGAGGCTGGCCTATAGGAGCCTGGCTTGCCAGCACCAGCATGTGGGTGAACTTTCTAGACAAGAGTACTGGGTACTGACTCAAGGGAAGAAGAGATCAAATCCATAGCTGGCGCCCACTACCCACTCACCGAAGCTTCTTCTCTTTGAAACCAAAAGATCATTTAGGGTGAGTCTTGAAAATTGAAAGCAAAAGAGAACGAGAAAGGAGGCAGAGGCAGAAGATAGAGGCCCGACCAAGAACAGGAATTCTCGTGGCAAGAAAGCTTGTCTGTTGGGAGAAGAATCATTCCCGCTCTGCCCATCCACCCATCACTGATTATCCCCCCAAATCAAGTGAGCCCACCCAGCTCCCTCCCGTCCATCCACACAATTCCTTGGGCCTGCCCCTCACCGCAGGCAGCCAGACAGGACTCTGCAGGATGCCGGCAGGTCGCCACCTGTGCCTAAACCATGGCAACAGGAGGAAAACTAAGAATCGGAAATGAAACATCTGTCAAAGTTGGGGGGATAAAAAAAAGTCAGATTCAACTGACGAACAGCTTTTTAACCCAGGCCACTCACTCACCTGGATCTGGAATGAGGATTGACAAAGAAATTCAGGTCAAAATCCAAAATCCGAAAGAACAAATCCAAGGATCTCTACCCTGCCATCTCTTCCTCTGTCCCTGGGTCACGGGGTGTGGGTTAGCTGACCAAGGACATGGTCCTGATCAATTCCACAAGGCTGTAAGAAGGGACAGAGTTCTAGCCTAATCCCACTGCTATTCCTCAGTCTCGAACCAGCTTCGGAAGCCGAAGGCCTCGGCGGTGGTGTGCAGAATGCTGGCTTCCGACATTGAATGAGCCCACAGAATACCTCAATCTGATCTTTTATAGTGCTTTGTTTATTACCTGTGTGCCCTTATTTCATAAGGGAACTGAGAAAGAGAGAGAGAGAGCGGGAATGATGAAGATGACTATTAGTAGCAATCCAAAGACAGCTTTTCTTAAGCTTCATTCATAGCAGCAAATGTAGCCAAACAACCCAGCAATTGTTCTCTCAAATGTCACCTTTCTGTATGGGCCACTGTGCCCATCAAACTCGGCTCTCTCGGTTTTGCTCCCCTTGGACCCCCCCCACTAAAAAAAATTGCTGTGTTATCCTCCAAATATCTCCAGAGAAATCGAACCTACAAGGAAAGCTTTTCTTCTTCTCCCTGCCCCCCTCCCCGTTTTTTCTTTCTTCTTCACGCAGCTTGAACAATTTGGCTCTGTTCGGGGTGCATTCCTGTGGCCCATTCTCTTTCAGTCCCCTGTGCAGGGCTGAGGACGGTGGACCAGGAGAACACAGGCCCACATTCAGACCCAGGACGGCGCTTCGGGCGGGGGTGGGGGGAGAAAAGTGAACCAAATGTACCTATGATTGTTGCGCCACCAACTTAATACCTGGGCAGAGAGACAAAGGCTCTTTAGAAAAAGTCCAAGCTGCAGGGTAACCCATCTCCCCCACCCTCCGGGAGTTCAAAAGATAACAGGAGCTGAAAATAAGGCTCTAACATAATTAAAGTTTTCCAAGTCATTTCGGGAGCTATTACCAATGATGACAGAGAACTCACGGCTAGCTCTTTTTGATGAACAATCTCTGCTCATACGTGAAGAATCTTTCTTTGCATATGTATGCGTGTGTGCACACATGCACGCATCTGTACACACCCTCCCCCCCATTCCTGGACAAAATGATCAACACTCTCTGAGCCCTGTGTCTTTTCACATAAGCAGAGGTGTAGCCATTGCTCGGAAAATCCCGGATTTGAAGGGAATCTACAAAATGAGGACACCCACTCAACATGAACTATATTTTATTCTTAACAAAGGGCAAGTGGGCATTTAGCGTTTTTTATTTATGTATTTATTTCTGCTTGGGATCCAGAAATTGCACTTGCCCATGGAAGTGGGTGAAGGTCTCCAAGTAAGTTCTGATGATAAAGGATGAGGAAACCCTGCAGTCTAAACACTTCAGAAGATGTTCGGAAGGTGTTTTTTCTAAACAGGGCAGGTGCTGTGTGCATAGTCAGGATTCAAAGGCCAACATAGACACAACACTTCCTGGTCCTTAATTCCATGGTCCTTGGCCAAAATCGTCAGTAAGAGAAAGATCATTTAGCCAGAAAACTGGAGAGCGGTGACAGAATGAGCCAGGCCTAGGAGGTCGCTGAGAAACTAGACTAAGACAAATATGCACTTGAACAGCAAACAGGATTTTTCTACTTTGTAATTTTTTAAAAGTATACTAGAAAACTGCTCTAGATCACTACTTGGTTTTGCAAGAAGACTATAAGCTCCATGAGAACAGGGACTAGATCCCTGATACCCCAGTATCTAGCACATACAAGTACTAAATAACTCTAAGTGCTGAAAACATTCAGATTCACTGGGAAGAGAAAATCAAGCACACAGTGGTGAACTTAGCTCCTGCTCACTCACAGGGGCTGATTGTTAAATTTACAAGAGTTTTGCGAGCCAGTTGTTAAACACAGCCACTATTAACATTTATTAAACAAAGCCACTCTTAAATTCTATAAACTTACAATTAAATAAGTTATATTCAAAACAAAGTTTACCGTAACACTTCCTTACTATTTTATAGTGTTTTTACTATTATCTATGCTCTTGAGGTTATTTATGTCTGTCGTATCTATATAATGGAAATACTGTATGTTGGTGGCTGCCCATCTCTCCCCTACTCTGTGTGCAATGATGGCACATTTTTTAGCTTAACATTGGCCATGGCAGGGGCATTAACATCATGGAACTCTAACAGTTCTACAAATCAGGGTTTGACTTACGGTTCTGTAGTTGTCTGGACTTAAAATTGAGTGGCAAAGGAAATACTAATAAGGCAAATTAAGTATAAAAGTATATCACTTCAATAGTTGTTACATTATGAGTAGCATATATATAAGAAATATTTTTAAGTATTCAAAATCTTTTCTTTAATTTGGCGAAAAAAATTACATCATTGACTAAGAAGTGAGGTTCCAATGTTTATCTTCATTGTTTCATCTTATTCCTTAACCAAAATGAAAATGTCAGCCAGCATTCATGTTAGAACTACACTCTTTCATCAGTTGCAAAGGAGAAGTCAGTGAAATGTTTTTCAAGAATCAATTAGCTGTCTGGGATTGACAATAAAGGGTATTACCTCTTTTATAATTACCTGCAAATTATGTGCTACCCATCTTTTATATCAAGATTTATAATCAGTGCATGCATGTATAAACATGAATATGTTTTGTAGAGGGCTGGCTGTTAAACATTTATCAGCATCCCAGTGTCCAACAGCAAAACTCTATGTCAAGAAAGGAGGTAATTTGAATGATTTCTAGAATGATAAGTCAGAGTTTGTCCCTACGTGCGCTTGGTCCATCACTTCGCTTTGGTTTGAGAGAGGCAGAACACAAAACACTGAAAGGAGGCTGATGGCAGAGAAACGGCACAGTGGGAGCTGCGCTCACCTTTCCTACTTTTCATCAGGGCTCATCCAAGGACAAGCAAAGGAGGCAGCAGCCTACCCTCTCTTCGTTCATAGATCTGGTTGGTGTTTTGGTTTCTAAAACGACTTTTGCATAAACTGTATCATGTGAGCCTCATAAGGGCTTTGTGATAAAGGTGAGAGAGAGAGTATTCCCACTTCATGGCTGAGCATATTAAGGTTCAAAAGGCTTATTTAGTTTGCCCAAAAATCACACGATGGAGGGTAACTAAGCTACAACTAGAACACTGGTCTTCTGAATCCCAGCCCGGTATTTCTCAAGGGAGGATCAAAATACCCTCTTTGGAACAGCTCTTCTGGAAAGTTCCATCCATCTCAGACCCTAGTGTAAGCAAGGAGGCAGTGCAGTGGAAAAAGAAGGCACTTGGGGTTCTGAAGTCATGTTGTCCACCTCAGTCACACTCACCAACTCTGTCTCCTTGGGCATGGAACCTGTGAGGTCAGAATCGAGGTTTTGATCTGTTGGTCGCTCACTTATAGCCACTGCACCCCAGGTCAGCAGCCACCTGGCCAGGGACTCTAACTCAGTAGACAGGTAGCTATGGCAGCATCCAGGTGCCAGAGCTCCAGCGAGCAGAGTGCTGATTTTCATGCTCTGCTTATTTTTAGAAGAGCAGAATCCTTTTTATTTTTTTAAGCAAAATTCTATATGAAACAGCAACATAGGATTCAGACCAAAAGACAAGTTTCTGTGTTGAATGGAGGGCAGGGGGTGGTTGGCTAGTGATAGTTATAACTGCTGTCATCTCATGGGGGCTCTTAAAGCACCCTTGAAGAATCCTTGTCTCCTTAAAGTACTTTTTAAGCGTCCACATTAGCATTTAATGTGAACAAGGGCAGTATGTGCATACTGCCATGCAGAAGGTCCCATGTTCTACACAGTGGGTGTCCTCCTGAAGCTTAGCTAGACACCTTGGACTCTCCTGCCCCTGGTCACAAGAGGACAAAATGAAAGAGTGGGGGCCCCTCAGTAGAAATGGGTAGAAGAAGATAAGGTTCCAGCCATACATCATGCCACTGAAGAGCAAGCAGGTGAATCTTCCACCGCAATAATGGCTGGCAGGGCTTGTTAAGTCCAGACTCTGCTCTGAACACCCAAATGTGCCATCATTTTCAGTGTTTGGCAGCACTCCTTTGAGGAGAATACTCTTATCATCACTTTGTACATTAAGAGATTCATGCTTACAGAAGTTTAGTAACATTCTCAAGCCTTTGCTGCTTGTAAGTGGTAAAGCTAAGATCAGGGCTGGCTACCTGGGCATCCAAGGGCCCACACTTGGGTTTAATGTTCTGCAGACTTCATCATAAAATCCTTCATAATTTTATCCTCGAATTTGTGTTTTGTAAGTACAGTCAGATGGAGCATGTCCGGGGTCTTGGGGCCTCTGTTCCCACATGGCTCTGTCTCCTACTGCTTCCTTGGGAGGGGTTCTCAGCCATCAGCCTCCCATTCCATTCCTCCCCTTGGCCACCCCTGCCCCTGACCACTGCCAGCCCTGGGTCAGCACCTGGATCCTACAGACAAGGAAAAGCTCGCATCCTGTGCCCAAGCCCCCTCTCTACCCAGCAGGGGCCTGGGCACAGGCACACAAGGGGCAGGGTCAACTGCCTGCCCTGGGTTTGCAGGCCCCAGTCCCTCCCACTGGGTGGAGAGGGGGACCTCTCACCCACCCCCAACCCAGAATCTGAGCACTTCCTGGAAGGAAGATTCAGACTCTTTGAGGTCCCATATCCACGGTGGTTCTGGGCGGTGCTCCCATGAATTCCCATCTCCTGGCCAAGGCCTAGCATTTTCCTTTTGTGGCAGACCCCATGCATTATGTAGCTGCACCTGGCTAAGGTTCAAACCCAGACACCTCAAGTCAAGGGATGGAGGGACTGGTCACTGTGGCGGATGACTTTCTCTTTCATCTACGAGGGTCAGCACATGTTCTTTGTTCCTCCACTCTTCTAGCATTGACGGACTCCTCCTTTGCCGGTCACCATGTAACAAGAACAGAGGACATGTGTGACTAACCACCAAACGGCCCTAGTTTGTCCGTGCTCATCCCACAGGACAAGGGACCTTTCCCCATTGGCATATCTGCCCACATGTATTCCCTGCAGATTCCACTGACCCTTAATTGAACAGCACTAATGAGGACTGAGTGCCCCCAAAGGATAAAGGGCAAGGTGCCCTGGGCTTGTGAAATGGACAATAGTGGTGGAAGTTACTCCAGCAAAAGAAAAAGCACAGGCAAGGAGCCGGCAGCCTTTCCCTGTGACCCGGCTCCCCAGAACCATGAGAGATGCTTTCATTTTTTTCTTGGGATGACCAGCAT